CTTCTTACAGTGAATATTGCGCTTCGGTGTCGTTGTCGTCGGCTCGCCGGGGTTAACCCAATGATATTTGCGTTTTGGATTATCAAAATAAATCCACTTTTCATCGCCGGTCACAATTGTCCACAAAAAAGACTTTCTATGTTGCTTATTGTAAAGATTCAGACATATGTCAAGTTGGCTATCTTTATTTTCTTGAGTCAAAAAGTGTGGCATCCACTTTGTTCCTTTTCGAATCTTTCCTATTGCGTTTAAAAGATAGGAAACGGTCTGTTGAGTTACTCCAAGCTGTTTTGCAAGTTGTTTTTCCGTCTGGCAAGAGTTTTCATCCAGCGACGCTTGCAGTTCCTAGTCATCCACCCTTACAGGAGCCCCGGTACGTTCACGGTCACTAACGTCGAAATCACCTTCTTTGAATCGCTTATACCAATACTCACATGTTGTACTTTTACATGTTGTCCCCAAGAACAGAACAAATCGATTGACATGCTTTCCTAACAGTTTTTCCTTGATGGAATTCATAGCGAATGCAGTGTCTAATAAATAGCTTATCGATGTGCATGTTTTATTCACAGAATTTAAGGTTATGTTTTCTCTCTTTTTTTTTCTCTCTAAATTCTAATTCTCTCAGAATTTTTTTTTTTTTATGATTCTTTATGACTCCCTTAGGTTTTGATACTACATAACAAACCCCACCATATATATAAGCGGTAATTTTGAATTCCTTTGAGGACACGGTATCGACGTGTCCTAAAACTTATTTGTACACCTAATAAAAGGGTAAAGGGAGATGCAAGAGTTATGAATCACAAAAATGAGGGTCCAAACTAAGGGACACAAAGATCAGCCGTGAAGATTAGAAACAAAATGCAGGTCAGAAATGAAAGTAAGTCTGACCCTGATGACTTAATTTTAATCTTTATTCAATTTTAATCTTAATTGTAAACTTTATTCAATTCCGATTTTTTTCTATCTGTCTGCGGATCTCCAAACCCAACGGCCTCGAACGGTTCTTATTTTAAGAAACCCGCGGCTCTCGGCTTAAGTATATAATGGGTACCGATTTTAACTAAACATTACTGAGAACTAGAACTTTATCAATAAAAATAACTGACAAGGAATATTAAAGAGGTGTTTCCCTCCGATTTCGATGAAACTCACATTTATGTTGTAGAGGGTGAAACCATGGTCAGAATGTGACCACCTTCAAGGGTGATCTTTCAATTCCACCTATAAGAAAAATATTTTCACAAATATATTTATATTTTTGGGGGAACACTACCCCTGTAAAAATTTTATTAAAAAAAAAATATGGCTCAGAATTTCATAAAAGCAATTGCATTTGGAAGAACAGGGAAAAATGCGGAATACCTGTTTTTGGATTTTCCCCGAAACTTAAGTTTTCTGGGGTGAAAAAAAAACAATTTTCGGAAATGTCACGAATCACAGTAGTGGAGTTATTTATTCAATTCATCAAGTTAATAAATAGCTGGTGAGAAATGAGGAAAATCGAAATTGATACTTCCTTCGGGGGATGAAATTTTGAGGAGAAACTACCCCTATAAAAATTTTGTTTTTCAAAAAAAAAGGTCAGAATTTTATAAAATCAATTGCGTTTGAAAGAATAAGGAAAAGTGCGGAACACTTGTTTTTTAATTTTTCCCGGAACTGAAATTTTCTGGGGTGAAAAAAAATAATTTTTTGCGAATATCACATGCATCATTATACTATATGTGGTGATAGCACACTGCTAAAAGCGATAATGAATCCAAACAAAGTAACAATATTCATGCGAACATCACCTATATTCAAAAATAGCAAATCGGGTCAGTAATCATGCATTATTGATAACCCCGAATATTTCTGCAATTTTGTTCCCTTTCATTTCGCACCGTGTTCAGTCTACATAAACATATCATGCGAAAACAGTCTCTTACTAATCGTAAATTTCCAATTGTTTTCACCATGAGATTCAATCCTATAAACGTTATTAAGCTTCTCATGGCAACATTTGAAGTGATGAATTTTGTGGAAACTCCTGTGACTAATGAAGAACGAGAATTGGCAACTAACTTCGAGAACATCTTGAAACGAACTATGGAGGAATATAATGGTGTGGAAATGATTGAAGAATCCACTCTCGATTTCCAAGAGCCGTATAGAGACATCGAAATGGTACCGATTGAGGATACAGAATTCCAACGGCATCATAAAGAATCATCTGATGGTTATCCGGATGATGACGAACCTGTAGACTATAAGTATAAAAAAAAAGCAGTTGAATTCTGGAGGAGTGCGAAAACAAAAAAAAATCTGTCTATAAAAACCGTTTCCAATAGATTCAAAAGAGTGAAATCGGTCCAACAATTACGTCGCTGGGCGCATCAAGTCAATAAAGGAGGAACTTATATGGAGAAATTGAAACGTATATCAGAGTATACATTGAAAAATATGAAGAATGCTATTGATGCGGGGTTAATTGTTCATGATGCAGACCTACGGAGATGTGCTCTGCAAGCCCCGAAAGATATTAGACATGAAGATATTCGTTTCAAGGCCTCGCCGTGGTGACTGCATTACTTCAAAAGAGCTCATCGCATTACATCTTGCAAAATTACTAAATTCGTGACGCGTAAAACGATGGAAAATCAAGAAGATTTACAAAACACCGCAGATGAATTCCTGCAAAAGATCAAACCATATTTTGAAATGTATGGCTTACAAAACATCTATAATTCTGATCAAAGTGGTTTTCAATTGGAAACGCATTCGGGACGAACTTTGACGGAAGAGGGGTCTAAAGAAGTCACATGCATTGTACAATCTGTAACATCAGCGACACACACTTATACCATACAACCCACGATATCTGCTGATGGCAAATTATTGTCACCTCTTTTCATTGTTTTCAAGGAATCATCCGGAAAGTTTGGCCCAATGGTCCAGGACAATGTATTCAGACCTTCAAATGTTTATATAACGGCTTCAAAATCGGGAAAACTGACTTCTGGTAAGATGATATTTCAAATGTATAACAAGATGTGATGAGTAATAACTGGTGTATTATCAGTGGATGTGGATGTATTTGTACTGATTACAATATTCATCCTATTCCAAATGTTTCAGAGCACTTAAAAGTATGGTTGGAAGAAGTATTCTTCCCAAACGTGGGACCAAAAAGTCTACTATTGATCGATTCATGGAGTGGATATTGCTCTCGAGTGGTAGAAGAAGCAACTTCTCGGAATAAAGCATTATTAACGATGCTGATCCCAAAAGGGACGACCGAGAAAATTCAGCCTCTTGATATATACGGTTCCAGAATCTGGAAAAATTATGTTCGTCATTTTTCAGATACGGTCGTTCTCTTGAATCATGATATCAGTTTACATGCGCGGAATAATGTGATCAAATTGCAATCTCTAGTTCATAATCAATTATCATCACCTAGGTATCAGAATCTATTTCGTAACACTTGGTTCCAAAGTAGCTATATTGCTAAAACCAGTAATAATACCTGAGGAATTTGATAATTCTGTTGATTTTGCATTTGGACAATCTTCTAATCCACAATGTGATGTTGATGGTTGTTCTAATGTTGCAGTAGTTAGATGCTCGAGGTGCAGAAAGTCTCTCTGCCTGCATCATTTTTTTGATGAATATCATTTCTGTGCCAAATGTAATCCTTAATAAAATATATACACTGACGACCACAGGAAAATACCAAAGAATTAAAGAAGAAGTAAAGGTTCGATGGAGATAAATAAGATGAGTTTCTACAATAAATACCAAATTATTTGGACAACTCACAGTTCTCCAAGAAATAATTTTTTCTGTCCTTAAAATTTGAGTTTCCGGAAAAATCCAGAAAAAGGTATTCTGTATTTTCCATATTCTTTCCACTGCAAACATTTTCATGAAATCCTGAAATTTTTTTTTTCTATGAGAAAAAATATTTTTATAGAGATAGTTCACCTCCCAAACTTCAATCCCCAGAGGAACTATCAGTTCTGATTTTCATATTTACTTACAAGCTATTTATTGCCTCGATGAAATGAATGAATAACTCCATCACAATGATGGGCAATATTTCCAAGAGAATATTTTTTTTCCGAGAAAATGTCAGTTCCGGAGAAAATCCAGAACAGGTATGGCGTATTTTTCCACGTTCTTTCAAACGCAATTGGTTTTATAAAATTCTGAACCATAATTTTTTTTTTTGAAAAACAAAATTTTTATAGGGGTAGTTTACCCTCCAAATTTCAACCCCCAAAAAAAGTACCATTTGTGATTTCCATTATTTCTCACCAGCTATGTATTAACTTGATGTATTAAATAAATAACTCCACTACTGTGATGGGTGACATTGCCGAGAAATCATTTTTTTCACCCCAGAAAACTTCAGTTTCGGGGAAAATCCAAAAACAGGTATTCCGCATTTTTCCATGTTCTTCCAAACGCAATTAATTTTATGAAATTATGAGCCATATTTTTTTTTTTTGAAAAATAACATTTTTGCAGGGGTAGTTTACCCCCAAATTTCAAACCCCGGAGGAACTATCAACTGTGATCTTCATAATTTCTCACAAGCGATTTATTACCGTGATTAATATTTCTGAAAATATTCTTCTTATAGGTGGAATTGAAAGATCACCCTTGAAGGTGGTCACATTCTGACCATGGTTTCACCCTTTAAAGCCACGTATTAGTCGATAAAAAAAATACGTGTCCTTTAGTTTTGAGTCCTCTACAACATATGGGAGTTTCATCGAAATCGGAGGGGAACACTTCCCTAGTGTTCCTTCTGAGAACAAGAACATTGTTCTCTAATTCTCAGAGAAAATTTTCTTGAAATAAGTGAAAATACCACTGAAATCCAGGCCTTTTTGTTCTCTGGATTTGAGTATCACAATGTAGTGGATTGTAATGAGAAACTAGAAACACTTTTTTCTGTGTCAATCCTTTAATGAATATCACCAAATATAAATCAATGATGTACTTACTCTACTATCTATTTCTTTCTGAAGCTTCTCAGCCTGTTCATCGGTTAATTCTACGATTTTATCGTCTCCAATGTCCACCTCATTCCTGAGAAGAGCCGTAGCCTCTTCCTGTCTCTTCTTCTCAATCCGCTCTTTATGTTTCTTCTCCTTTTGCAGCTTTTGGATCTTCTCATCCTCATACTTCTGCATCGCCGTAGACTGATATTTTTCGAATTTACTTGTAACTAACTGAAAAAATCCATAAATGAATATTTCTTTGCTGAATAGTCGAACAGTTTAATTTTTTGCAATAAAAAATATAATTTTCCAGGTCAGTGAAATTTCCAATTTGAAAAAATGAATCGTTTTCTGGACTAGGGAAATTGCGAGGAAGATTGGCCCTTCATCACTCAAGTATTTTTGGCATAGCGATTCTTTTTACTCCCGAAAGCTTTGTTATCATTCAAAATTTAAGTTTTGGATTTTTTGTGTTATATAGACGCAGTATGATTCAAAAACCCGGAAATACAATTTTTACTCCTCGCCCGTACGTGTGTGGATGTATGTATGTACATATGTAACAAACTTTTTCATCAATTGTTCGCTAATGAAGGGATCGAATTGAATTTTTTTTTCATCAAATGAAGGTATTGTTGAGCCCTATCTATCGCCATTAATTAAAATCGGTTGTCCTACGATAACTGACAAAAATTTTGAATTGATTGAATGATGGCGTAAAAAATCGTTTGCATGTCTTTTAGAACGAGTTCGAAGATGAAGGTGATAGCAATAGTCGTTATTTCGAGTTATTTAAAAATTTGCAAAAATTTTGCTTTTTTTGAAAATCAGAATTCCGGGAATATATTTGAATATCATGCTGCAATTGAATTGAATTATAGCTTGAAATATTTGTTTTAATAGTATCAATTCGAAGTTAGAAGATGATTACAACAGCTATATTGGTTAAGTTGATTTTTATGATAATTGTTGGAAATTTCGAATTTATTAAAGGCAGTAATTGAGAGTAAAGTACGATATCGATTTATGTTCTTGATTTTTATATCATCGACCATCAATTAATGATATTGAAAACATTATTATCACCTCCACAGACATAGCCTTAAATACCGCTACATCATCTACCGTAAACCCCAGACCACCCTGCGGCAAGCCTTTCGGCACGAAGATGGATAATTATTATTACTATTCTCATCTATGTTTAAATCAAACTCTGACGTTTTAAGAATTTTTAACTAAAGAAAAAAATGAAAGAAAATGTAGCTAAGCTACTTATTTAACGTTCGAATTATTTCACTATATTGTATTCGCACCGGCTTAGCAGCCGAATACCTGACTACGTCACCTCGTGACGATTCGTCATATTTCGGGCACCCTCGATCGGATGATCTAATTGCNACCTGGACTTCCTGTATCGAGTAAAGCTCGTCGTCTCGCCCCAGACAAATTAACGATCGCACAACAGGAATTTCAGAAAATGATGNACATTCGATTTCTACTGTTACAACGCGTGTTATAATTTCATCAACCCGTCCAACATTCCCGAGTATCCCACAAGTGGTG